GGCAGGAACAAGGAGGAAAGACTTTCTGCGGGGGTGACCCTGGAGCCCAGGGGTCTGGGGACTGGCTCAGGGAGGACTGCTGTCCTCAAGCTGATGAGGGATGATCTGAAGCCAATTCACTGTTGTTCGACAGACGTCATGGAAGGAAGAAAGGCCCCAGGACTTGTCCCAGGCCTGACCTACTTGCCCGAGGGGTGAATTCCCCGGAGCCCTCCCGAGAGTTCCTGTACTTGTCCCCCTCATGTAGCGCCCTGTGCTTCCTGAGGTGGGCACTGCAAAGTGTGGGCACTGTGGTGCCCTGAGCGAGGCCAAGAGAACACCCCCAGGGAAGAGGGACCGAAAGGCCTCACGGGCCCCGGGCCCCAGCGTGCCCCAGTATCACCATGGGATGAATTGTGGGTGGTCCCCTCCACAGCAGGCAGAGGAAGGGTCGACTCTACCACGAGCTGCCGCCCTGGGGTGCAGGGCCTCGCGGCCTTGGAGGGGCAGCACCTGGGGGCCCACTCAGGCCGTTGCTCATCCTACTGTAACGTGTATAAGAGACGGGGGGTGACTTTATTTCTAACGTCCCCGGCCAGAGCTGGTGACCAGTAGAACCACGACAGCTCAGAGTGGGAGAAGAGAGAGAAAGGAAGCCTCTTTTACTGAGCACCTGCTGTGACCATGTGCTTTACATCTGTGACTTATTTCATGCTCCCGTCTGGCCTCTTTGGCAGGGCTTACTATCACTGCCGCGTCACGAGGAGGTGTCACTGAGGCCTGGAGAAGCAGGGGATTCACCTAGAGCCACAAGCTGGGCTGAACTCAGTGTCTGGTCTGAGGCCCAAGCCTGGCAGGGTCTTTCCACGGCACCAGGCCAGACGAGGGTGAGTCCTGCCCTCACTCTGGGGCCCACCATCCCTCTTTAAGATTAGGGAAGGTGGAAAGTGCTGGTGACGGCTGCTAGATGTGGCTTCCTCCCAGGGCTCCTGGGAAGGGGGTTTGTTTATTCTTGTGTCCTCAGCACCCTCGATAAATTCACAGACCGTGATTAAACTGACTATGTCGGGCATACATGGCTGGTTCCCCAGTATCTATCCTTCCTTTCTTCCTTAGTAATAGATTTTAGCCAGGTATATGTCCTACATTTTCCAGTCTTTCTTGCAGACAGGTGCGGCTATTTGAGTAAGTCAGGCTTAAGATATGTGCCACTTCCAGGGAGTGTCCTCAAAGAGAGGGAGAATGCCTTTCTTCCCCCTTTCATCCTTCTTGTCTGGAATATAGATGTGATGGCTGGAGCTGAGGCAGCCATTTTGAACCATGAGGCAATGCTGGGAATGATGGCAGAGTACCAAGATAGGAGTCTGGGTCCCTGAGGACTGCTGGGGGATAATTCTCCATGGCATTTTTATACCTCTTATGACAACTTTTGTCTTGAGTCATTTTTTTCAAAAGATCTGTATGGCAAATAGCCTGGGGGAACAGAGATAGAGTCTCCTTCTGGAACAGAGAGCAAATTTTAATATATTTTATTTTTCAGAGCAGTTTTAAGTTCACAGACAAATGGAGTGGAAAGAACAGAGAGTTCCCACATGCCTCCTGTCCCCACACAGGCACAATCTCCCCCACTATCAACATCCCCCACCAGAGCAGGGCATTTGTTACAGTCAATGAACCTACCTTGACATGTCATTATCACCCACAGTCTGCAGTTTACATGAGGGCTCACTGTTGGTGGTGTACATCCCCTGGGTTTTGACAAACATACATTGACATGTATCCCCCATTACAGAATCATACAGAATAGTTTCACTGCCCTACAATCCTCTGTGCTCCACTGTTGGTCCCTCCCTCCCCTCAATCCCTGGAAACCACTGATCTTTTTACTGTCTCCATAGTTTCACCTTTTCCAGAATGTCCTTTATGATTTTACAGAATGTAGCCTTTTCAGGTTGGCTTCTTTCTCATAGCAATATGCAAGCAAGTTTCCTCCATGTCTTTTCACGGCTTGCGAGCTCATTTCTTTTGAGCACTGAATAGTCCATTGTCTGGATGGACTACAGTTTATTTATCCACTCACCTACTGAAGGACATCTTGGTTGCTTCCAAGTTTGGGTCATTATGAATAAATAATTACAAACATAATTCATAAGTAAATATTATAACCAAATTATGAATAAAGCTGCTATAAACACCCATGTGTGGGTTTTTGTGGACATATTTTGTTCTTCTTTGGGTAAATAGCAAGGAGTGTGATTGCTGGATTATAGTGTAAGAGCATTTTAGTTTTGTAAGAAACTGACAAACCATCTTCCAAAGTAGCTGGGCCCTTTTGCATTCCCACCAGCAACGTGTGGGAGTTCCTGCTGCTCCAAATCCTTGTCTACTTTTGGTGTTGTCAGTGTTTTAGATTTTGGCCATTATAACAGGCACAGAGTGGTATCTTGTTGCTTTAATTTGTGATTCCCTGATGGCATCAATGTTGAGCATCTTTTCATGTGCTTATTTGCCATCTTTATATCTTCTCTGGTGAGTGTCTGTTTAGATCTTTTGCCCACTTAAATGATCAGGTTGTTTGTTTTCTTATTGTTGAGTTTTAAGAGTGTTTGTGATTTTGGATACAGTCCTTCATCAGATGTGTCTTTCGCAAATATTTCCTCCCAGTCTGTGGCTTGTCCTCTCTTTCTCCTGAATCTGGTGGGTTCCTTTGTGGCCGAGGAAACTCTATTTCCACAGTCCTGTGTAGTTCAAGCTGCTGTTATGCCCGCCTTGGCTTGCAACCGAGCCCAGTTCTAGCTGACACAGGGAGCCACGCTTCTGCCTGGAAGCCTCCAGTGGCTCCCCTCAGGCCCGGAATGAAGCCCCCGCTTTCAGTCAGTCTGGCGCCCGGCAGAGTGGTCAGGAACAAGGCCTCCGAAGCCAGGGGGCAAGTTCTGGTGGCGTTGCTTCCCAAGGCTGTGACCTCGCGGACGTTACCTTCTTGGGGCCTCAGGTTCCTCACCCGTGCGATGGGCTAATAACAGCACTACCTCATCAAGCGGTTGGAGGGCCGAACGGCTCATCACAGCAGACACTGCGTCCAGCACATGGCCGGCGCCCAGTCCACGCGGCCGCGGGCGCTCTGTCCCCTCCCGCCGCCCCGCGGTGGCCACACCCCCTTCCTCCCTGGACTTCAGTGGGCGGAGCCTGCGCCCCCCGCCGGACTCGCTCCTTTCTCTCCGCGGGAGCTCCAGCCCCACACCCAAGGACACTCGCCCCGCACACGCACACGTGCCCCAACACATACACTCACCCCCACACTCACACACGTCCACGAACACTCGCAAACAGGGCAGCACACACAAACACACTCTCGCACACCCACCCATGCTCACACACACATCCATATCCACACTCAGATTCCTAGGCTCACACACACACTCCTACCCACACACGCTTGCACTCAATGCTTTCATGAACACTCACTCACACTCACACACACACGTTCGCACGCACCACCACACACACTCCTTTGTGGGGCTGGCGTCTCCCCCCTCCAGAGGTCCTGCCTGACCTCCCTCCGTTTCTCCAGCTTTGCGCCTTGTTCGCTGACGCTCCGCTGGGCTGCCCCCACATCCTTTCAGCAGAGGGATGCCCAGGCGCAGCCCTGGCTTCTGTTGCAGGGTGACGGTGCTGCTCCCGTCCGCGCGGGGGGCACCTGTTGCTGCGCAGGGCCACATCGAGCTTGTTCGCAGTTGCATCCCAGCCCTGCCACAGGCCTGGAACACAGTGGGTGCTCGAGCAATGTTTTGGAGGACGAACGAACGAACGAGTGAATGCACAGGACCACAGGGTGTCTGAACAGGAAGGCCCTTGTGCACACCACCTGCCAGGGGAGCCGAGGCTGAGTGAGAGGCGCGGCCGCGGCCCAGGGCAGAGCACGGAGGGACGCCCCACTGGGCCTCAGCTTCCTGCCTCCCACTTGGCCGGCAGTTCTGTCTCCACTTTTCCACAGGGACAAGGATGCGGCCTCCCCTCCTTAGTGGGCTGGTTCTGGAACCCACTATTCTCCCACTTCTGCCCCTTCACAGAGAGCAGGCAGGCTAGGAGCGAGTGGGCAGCAGCCCAGGGGGCACAGGCCATGCTTCTGCTCCGCGTGTGGCCCAGCCCTCTCCCTGGGCACAGCACCCTTCTGCCGGCTCCCGCCTGCCACCAGGGCTGTGAGGCTCAGCAGGTGAGGCTGGGCAGGAATCAGGAGCCCCCACGCGGGCTCCCCACGTGTCCTCCCTCTCTGTTGGCCTCGATTCTCACCGACTGGATGCACATATCAAATCTTGGGAAGAGTAGGTAGTTTGAAAACAGTTTGAAAATGCATATTCAACCTTCTTTTTGATTTTTTTTAACGTCAGGTCGCAACAGCAAAAAGCAAGTTTGACAAAGATCTTCTTGGGGGTGGAGTGGGGTGGGGGTCGTGGCGAAATCGAGACAAAGGTGTTGAAGATTTGGAAACGCTGCCTTAAGAATGTGGAGACATTGAGTAGTGAAATTGATGTGCTTGGTGTGAGTGTGCGCCGTTTTGTGGGTGCTGAGGTGTGTGGGTGCAGGTCGGCAGCTGTGGGTCCCTCGTGTGCGCACTGCTGAGGCCCCTGTGTGATTGTCTAGGTCTGAACGTATGCGCCGCGCTGTCTTGTCTGGATGGAGAGGAAGGATGTGCCATGGGGGGAGGAAGGGACATCTTTGGGTGGGAGGCCAGGGTGGTCCTGGCCTGAGGACGTGAGGTGGGAGCCAGCCTTCTCCGTGTCCACTGCCCTTGGCCGACTGGACCAGCAGAGCTCATGGTCATTTAAGGTGCTGGCTGGGTCAGGCAGCTGTTTGGGTGGCAGGCCACCCGGGGCCGAGATGGTGTGGGCCTTCCAGGGGGGCCCTGGGAGCTATTTTTAGTGGTCTGGGCTGACTCCCAAATCCTGCTGACTATTTCTGGCCCCAGAAGACTGCCCTGAAGGATGTGGAAAATTTTCGTGTCAAGAATGTCTGATTTCCCTTTGGCTATGCAAGGGCATTGCAGAGAGACCAGGACAAAAGGCTGGAGACCCGAGGGCTTCTGGGAAAATTCACCGGCACTGAGAGCATGAAATGCCATCTTCCTGCCCTTTGGAGACTACCATGGACTGTTAAAAACACCAGCGTCATTATGGGCGACCATCTGGCCCGGGTTGCCTCCGTGTCTCAGTTTAGCACTAGAAGCCTGGCATCCGGGACACCCTTCTGACCCAGGCAAACAGGGACGGTGGTCACTTGAGCTCCGCTTCAGCCTCTTTTAGTTCTAGAAGTGAAATTAATCAGAACGAGAATTGAACTACCCGCATCACCTTCCAGAATGTTCTCAATCATCACATACCGGAGGTGCTGTTTTCACCTCCATTTTCACATCAAGAAACTCAGGCACAGAGCTGCGAGGCAACTTGCCTAGTGCAGAACAGCCAGTGAGTGTGGGGCCAGGGTGTAAGCCCTGCTGCTCTGAAGCGGTAAGCCTGCGGCCGGCACGAAGAGGGGCTTTGCAGGCGGGAGAACCTGGGTTCAGCCCCTTCCTAGCCAGACACTTAACCTGGGATAAACACACCGATTTAGCCAGACTGTCATGGGGGTTAAGTGAGAAAGTGTGGTTGCATGCAGCCTGAACTAGCAGGCGCCAGAAGTACCAACTCGGGGCCCATGGCTCTCCCTTTGGGGATGGCAGCCCGGCTGTGTGGACCCCCCTGCCAGCTGCACCACGCGGCACCTGGGTACCAGAGACCCCCTACTTGCCGCTCTCTTGCCAGGTAGCGAGGGAGGGAAGCGACATGGGTGGGGCAAGAGAGCCGGGGCCTGCGAGCCACCCGTCCCAGTCCTGCCCTCGGTGCCCTGGGCGTCCTCGCTCGCCTCTGGCCTCCACTGTCTTCAGCGTAGGGTGGGCCAGTGAGCCTGCCCTCGCGGGGGCGGGCACGGACACTCCGTGAGGCCTGCTCCCCCGCAGCCGCCCCGCAAGGCTGGTCCGGAGCCGGGCGCTGGGAGGGCCCAGGGTGCGGACGTGCGTGTGCGGCGCGGGCGCTAAGGGAGGGGAGGGGATGCGCGGCCGGGGGCGCTGTTCCTTCCGCGGGCCGCGCGTCAGCGGGCAGGAAGGGCCGGCCTGCCGTTCCCACCGCCCCCTCCCGGCCACTCAACAATAGGGCCGCCCGGAGGGACCGTGCCCGGGGAGTGTATGTGCGTTTGTGCACGGGTACCCTGGGGGATGCTGAGAGGCAGAACGGGAGAGCAGGGAGAGGACCCCTCCCTGGGTCCACCCGCGTCGGCCGGGGCCGCGTCATCTCGTCTAGTCCCCATGGCGGCCCTTGGAGGAGGCCCTCGCATCCCGGGCGTGGGCATCGCTCAGGGAAGGCCCTGCTGGCTTCTGCCTGCTTCCAGCGCTGGGTCTGGGACCTAGGCTGGGCCGGGGACAGGCTGAGCTGCAGGCGTGCCCAGCCTTTGACGAGAGACCCGAGCTCTGCCCCCAGGCCGGAGTAAGGCTGTGGGCTCAGCAGCATCCCTGTCTTATACGCGGGCAGCAGAGGCTCAGACTAAGGTGCCTACCCACCCTGCAAACACCTATTTATTATACCAAAAAGGATTTAAGCTCCTAAAGAAAGGGAAAGAATCGTCATTAACTCAAGCTTTCCTACTTCAGTGGTGCCCCGGGGTAATCAAATGGCTGATGAGGGTAAATTTCTATTTATAGACTTACACCTGCTTGAAAATGTAGAAGGAAGGGTAAAATTAGAGACTCATCATTGTGCAACCTCTAATGAATGGATGGGGCAGCCACAGCTGCTCACATCTCAAGAAGCCGGACAGACAGTGTGAGCCTCAGCAGGGAGGAACATGTACCACCGGGAAGTGGTCTTGCCCCAAACTCAAACCTGCATCTGATGGAGCCCCTGCATTTGAACAAGTTACAGGAGCGACAGGGGACAGAAGAACAGGTTAAGGGGCACCTCAGGGATGCAGGCAGCCAACTTCAGATGTGGGAGACGCTGTCGATAAACCGCTGCTGTCTTCTACAAATACATTGCAAGAAGAGAGACAGAAACAATAAACAAACAAGTCAATAAGTAAATAAATAAATGTGGGGGGGAATTGATAGAGTAAAGATTTGGAGACATGTCAACCAATCACCAGATGTAGATAATCATTTAGCATTCTGATCTAAGCAAATTGTAAAATGGACAAAAAAAAAAAAACACCTCAAAATAAGTGAAAACCATTTATGAAATAAGAAATTCAAATAGATCCCAGAGAATCACCTGCTGGGGGTTTGTCATCACTGGGGAACCAGACGGGACCCTCGGGGTCAGGCAGCTTTGAGACTCCTGCCTTGGGGTGCCGTGGGAACTGCCCCGGGACACTGATCCCTGCGGCCTCCTCCCACTGGGCACCCCTGGTGGACAGACACACCCTGGAGTTCGGGGGAGGTGGGGAGGGGGAGGGAGAGACCGTTTTCTCCCTCCTGTCCTCTGCACTCGGGTCATCTCTTTCTGGCGCGTGCATCTTGCAGGAAGCCAGGATCCGACCTTTTTGTTCAGTCTGCCCAGAACCCAGTGTTTAAAATTAGACCCCTGGAGCCAGTGGGCACTGTGTTCCTGCTCCCTGGGAAGCGGCATAAACAACCAGCTCCAGTTGCTGGGACGTGTGCCCCAACCCGGGGTGGCCCAGGACGGCGAGGCGCACCCTTCTGAGGACAGCACCCGGCTCAAATCCAGCGGTGGCCCTTGGGCCTGGATCACAGCCTGGGCGCTGGCGGCTCTCTGTTCTCTTCTCCTGATGGTCTTTCCATTTTAAAGATGAGGAAATGGAGTCGCCATGAGCCTTGCCCAAGGTCAAACAGCAAGTTTTTATTATTATTAATTCGTATACATAGGCTTTAGAAATTCTTGTTTAAAATGGTTTGCTCTCCTCTTAACAGGTTAAGTCGTGTCCATGGGGAAGATTTCAAAGCAGCCAGGATGTGATCTGTGATGAGTGGCTTCTCTCCAGCCCCACCCCAGTCTCCTGACTCTCCGTTGGAGGAACTGATGCCATCAGTGTGTCACGTGGTCAGCCTTCCTCTGCCGGCTTCGAGAGAACGAGGGCTTGAGGCCCAAGGGGACTGGTGCGTGGAAGGAATTAGCTTCTCTCCTCTGCATCCCGAGTGGTACCGGTTATGAACCATCCTTCGGTGAACTGAGCCTTTGTCCCTTGTGTCATTTTCCACATTCTGTGCCAGATCCTGACCCCCAGCTGGTCGGTTAAACCAGCCCTTCCATACCTCTCTTTCCCCTTCCTCTATCTCGGAGAGGGCGCATTGTTAGCGTGCACACCTGCCTCTGGGTTCCGGCTGTGTGGTACCCCACGGTGGGTGCGTGTAACTCATAATGTGCCTCCTCTGACGGGCATGCAGTTCGCTCGAGTCTTTTGCGTGTGTGCTTCCGTGTGTATTACGTGCACATACGTGAGGGCATCTGCGAGATAATGTCCTAGAGGGTCAGACGTTACTGCTTTGTGTCCGAGCTGGTCCTAGCGCCCAGGCTTCTGGGGCAAAGACAAAAAGATTCTGTAGCCAGTCTGGGATCAGCCTGGCCCAGATCTCCGGCTCTCCTCGATCTCCAGTTCTCCTAGAACAGACTGGAAGTTAGAGGAGGGGAACAAGAATTCCAGATGTTCAAGGAAGAGAATGAACGGTTATCGTGGGCCTACTACGTGTTAGGCATCTCCACGTTGCCTTATTTAATTCTCACGGCAGCTCTGTGGGGTGGGTACCTGTTTCCAGTTTACTGCAGAAGCTCAGAGAGGTTAAGTCACTTGCTTGGGGGCATACAGTGGGTAAGTGGCAAAACTGGGATTTGAACCCAAGTGAGTCTGAATCCAAAGCCTGTGCCCTTTCTGCTCCACCACCTAATGGCTGCAAATGCGTCCAGAATGGCCAGGGGTCAGGCTGGCAGGTTGCCCACCTCCAGAGGGTATTATTCACATTGCAGTCTGTGTGCTTGGCATCCCCGGCATTGTGCAGTGCACAGTCTGTGAGGCCGCACATGGCAACCCTGCTGGGGTGCCCATGCTCTACTCTCAACAACAACAACAAAATCGCTAAACACAATCACCGCCTTTAAGAACATGCAGCAGCAAACCAGTTGACTCATAAATTCTTTCTCTTATATGTTCATTAAGAAGTTGTTAGTGATACTAATAACATCAAAGTTGAGAGAGGCTGTTTCCTGCCTTCCAGGGCCTCTCGGTCACTGTGATTTAGAAGTGCCTTGTGATCAAAGGGGAGGATTGGACTGACCCTGTTGGGCTGAGGATCAGGGAAGGCTCCTTGGTGGAGGGGGCAGTTGGCTGGGCTCTGAAGGATGAATAGGAGTTTTTGGTAGGAGAGGGTGTAGGGGGCGTGAGGGTGGAGGAAGGACATTTCAAGCAGAGGGAACGGCCAGCAGAAGGCACAGGTGTGAAATAAGCAGGCCCATCAGGAGCTGCCAGTGGTTCCATGTGACTTGGGCGCGGGGAGTATGGGAGGAAGTGGGGAGCAGGCAGAGGCCCTTGGAGGGATTAAACACACAGACACACGCACATGTGTGTGCAGTGAGCAAAGAAGGGCCCCTGGAGACCCTGACTTGGGTGTGAATCCTGATCCTCACTCTGCCATCTTGGGTGAGGCCCTCCCCCACTCTGGGCTTCGTGTCTGCATTCGGGGGAGGGGACGGGCTGTGGCCCATGGTGGGAGTAGGGGTGTCCGTGGTTGGCGTTGTGTGTGCTGAGCCCTGCAGCTCGCTCAGCTGACCTTGGCAATGCGGATGTACCTTGTTTGGCGTGACCCTCCCTGCTGGGGTCAGGCCCAGCTGGCAGCCTGGGGAGGCCAGGGTGAGGTAGGGGCCTTGGTGGGGCAGGGGAATGACCTCTGGCTCAGTGGTCTGGGTGCCGCCCGGGCTGGGTGTGCAGACACCTTCCGCGGGCTGGGGCGGTGAGGGCCCACTGAGAGCTGCTGGGTCTCGGTCCCCTGTCAGCAAAGCGGCCACTGTCCGCCTCACAGAGGAGGGGACCGCAGCCCCGGTTCGCACAGGGAAGGAGGGCTGCAGCCCGCGGCTGGTGGGCTGCTCTGGTCTGGGTTCTGTCTGTCCTTCACTTCTTTCCTCATTGCCCCTTCCCAGGTGACAGGTGAGGTGGGGGCCGGGGTCGGCTGCCGCCCTGGCTTCCGTGCTTCCCGAGCTTGAGTGAAAGCAGTGTCTCTGGGTCCAGCCTCGCACTGTGTGCTCTCGGGGTCGCCTCCTCCAGGCCTCCGTCCCTGTCCAGAGGCTCTTCCCTCTGCCTGGAATGTGCCAACTCCTCTTTGCCTTCTCGGCAAACTCCTGTTCATCCATCAAAACCCAGATTAACCAGCACCTTCCCCTGGAAGCTGTTCGAGACTTTGCCTTAAACAGAACGAGTCCCTCCTCCCTCTGGCCTACCCGGGCCCCTTCTAACATCCTCTCTGTGCCCCTCTGCAGGGGGTTGTGATTGTACGTGGGCCTGTCTGTCTCCCTAACTCGATGATTAATTCTCTAAGCGCAGAGGCTGTTCCTGCTTATCTCTGCACTCAGCTCTCGCTGCAGGCCCCAGAGTGTAGCAGGTGCTCAGGAAAGCCTCAGTTTAATTGGGGTCTGTTTGCTTTGTAAAACTAGATAATGTTTGCTGAGCCTGTACTGTGTACAGCACTGTACTAAGTACTTCTCACACATTTAGGTCTCACAACAACCTCATGAGGTCGGGTTGTTATCCCCACTTCACTGAAGAGGAAACTGAGGCTCAGAGAGGTTAAATAACCAGCTCAAGGCCACATGGCCAATAAGTAGCATAGGTGGAGCCTGTTCAATGCTGAATTCCCCAGTTTGAACTTACATATTGCTATTTCTCAAACCAGCATGAAATGGTTTGAACTGGTGCTTGGACTAGCTCTTTTTAAAAAAACTGAGCATTTATTTATTTATTTGCTGAGGAATATTGGCCCTGAGCTAACGCTGTTGCCAGCTTCCTCTATTTTGTATGTGGGATGCCGCCGCAGTGTGGCTGGATCCACACTGCATAGGTCCACGCCCGGGATCCCAGCCTACGAACCCCAGGCCACTGAAGCGGAATGTACAAACTTACCCACTACGCCACCGGGCCAGCCCTGAGTATTTATTTTAAAGTGTATTAGAAGAATAAATAACTAGTGTATCAAACTCATGTGTTCCTGGTAAACTTTTATTCTTATAGTTTCACTATCCGTCTTTGTCTTAACAGTGTGTTCACTTCTTCATTTAAACCTCCACTAGTTGTGTGTTTATGTCAATGGGCATTAGAAGAAAAATATGTCATGCATTAAACTCAAGACTTTTGACTGCGATATAATTTCCTTTTAGAAAACAAGTTAAGTAAAAATGGCAATTGATTTAAATGAAAGTTTCAAGTAAAAACAGTAAAGGTCTTGAAGAAACCCCTGCAGTGATACTGGAATGAGAGGGGACTCTTGCCCATGCCCCGCTGCCCTCCTGCAGACAGTGGGAAAGGCGAAGGACAGAGGGAGCCTGACCCTTGAGGAGACTGAAGGCTGTCCTGGTCCCAGCTTGCCCCATACCCACCACCTGTCCATTGCCCTTCTCCCCGCAACGGCCAGAGTGACCTTTGAAAAATGTAAGCCACATCCCGTTCCTCTCTTATGAACGCCTTTAATGGCTTCTCAAAGCATTTACGAGAAAGCAAACTCCTCCCCACAGCCGAGAAGGCCCTATATAACCCAGCCTGCTCCAATCTATCTTCTCTCTTCCTCATTGGCTGTGTTGGCCTCATTGCTATTTCTGCCTCAGGGCCTTTGCACGTGCTATTTCCTCTGCTTAGACCATTCTTTTTCCAGATCTTCACACAGATGTCTCTTTCTCAGCCACCTCCCCAGAGAAGCTCCACCCTCCCACACCCCTCACAACTCAAAGTAGCTCTTCTAAGTACTCACAATCACCTCACACTTGTTCGTTTATCTGAGCAGCACCTCTAACACTGTCTAGATTTTCTTCTTTCTTTTTTTTAAAAAAGCGTATTTTTTGTTGTTTGATTAGAGCAAGAACTCTGTCTTGTGTCCCCAGAATAGAGTCTGGCAGGTAACAGATGTTCAGTAACTATCAGCGGGGCCCCTATGTGTGTGAGTGGTGGCTGAGGGGCTGGGGGCGGGTTGCATTAAGCTCCTGCATCCACAGCTGGGACCCGAGCTCCTCCAGAAACAGCTGAGAGGTTTGAGGCCTCCAGCCGAACAGTCCAGGCAGCTGAAACCAAAAATGCAGACGGGCTTAGTCACCCTTGGAGCCTGGTAACGCTGGCACCAGACCCGCTCCCCAACCAAACACATCACAACACCCGGGCCTCGCGTCTCCAGGGCCCCAGATGGCAGCTCTGGCACGCGGGAGCGGGCAGCCGCTGCGGCGCGGGCAAGGGGGTGGGGTGGGGGTGGGGGGTGTGGGGAATGAGCCAGGCTGAGGGTCACAGATAGGGTCACCCGGCCTGGGGACAGCCAGTGGCCAGCGGGGGTTCTGAGCACAAACTTTGAGACAAGTTGCCTTGAAGAACGAGCTCAAAGCTGTTGAAAAATAAAAATCCCGCTGATAAACCGAAGCAGACCGCTCGGTTGTGAAATCCATTTCCATGACACTTTGTGTGTCTGCGAGGGGAAATTCTCTCCTTTCTCTTTTGGTTTATAACGGCTTTATTGAAATACCATTCACATCCCATATAATTCACGCATTTAGAATGTACGATTCCACAGTTTTCAGTATATTCCCGGTTGAGCAACCATCACCACATGAGTCTGAGACCATCTCCACACTCCGAAGGGACGCCCCCCACCTGTCGGCATCCCTCCCCGCCCCTCCCCACCAGCACCATGCGCCGGGACTCTCATGCTGTTTCTGTAGATTTCTCCTTCCAGACACAACCTAAAGGCAACCGTGTGTAACCTCCCATGGCTTCTTTCTCGTAGCATGATGTTTTCTGGGCTCATTCGTGTCATAGGATGTGTCAGGACTTCATTTCTCTTTAGGGCCACGTACTATTCCACTGTATGGATGTGCCACATTTACTCTGTTCACTCATTGGTTTATGGACGTTTGGGTTGTTTCTGTTTTGGGGTGTTGTGAACAAGGCTGCTGTGAACATTGGGCAAGTTTGCGTGGACATATATTTTCACTTCTCCTGGGTATATATCTAGGAGTGGGATCTACTTTCTTCTAAAAGGAAAAAAAAAATCCCCCACATCCAAATGTGGATAGTGTGGAGTGGATTTAGAATGTCACTTGCCGCTCTGATAGAACCAGTGAACTTCACGGTGGGGCCGTGGCCGTGCCCGGAGCAGACTGGAAGCTCAGCGAGGGTTTCTGAAGGAATGCCCAGATTGTTCCTTGTCCTGGACTCCCCAGAGAAAAGGCCTAGGGGTAGCAATTCCACAAAAATGGGTCTCCATCCACTCATTCAATAATTACAGTGGCACATAGTAGTTCCCCAGATGCCGTTTGAGTGTAACGAACGGTGTAGAGTTTCTTGGACAGAGATGGGGGAGCCTGAGTGTCCGTGTGAGGAGCGCAGCATGCAAGGGCAGGCAGCGCGGGGCGCCGGCACCTTGGCGCAGGGGGGAAGTGGGGCTCTCTCCGTCCCTGTCACTCCTGCTGTTTCCTCCTGGAGCCGGTGACCCTTCCCCCAGACTCCCGGTGTGAGCTCGCCCTGTCCCGGGGCAGCAGCCGCCATGGGACGAGAAGGCGCCATCTCAGGACCTTGATCTGTGGTTAGCACCCATCCTTGGGGCGCCCCGCTCCTGTCTTTGTGTCTGACATCGAGGACCTTTCTTACTCTTCTGTGGAATAAAGAGTGTCTTCCTGTGGCTTTTTTCTGGTTCTTGACGTATTTCCGCTGTCCTCCTGAGGACAGTCTAAGTTGTGCCGGGCGCCTCGGGTGCAGAGGTGAAGAGACAGGCCCTGTCCGCCGGGACCTCCACCTGGTGGGACAGACACGGTTCCCCAGGCAACCCAGAGGGACAGGAGGACTCAGAGGGGCCCCTGATCCTAGAGCTGCCCTTGGAGGCTCCTGTCTGAGCATATACAACCCTCTGTGTTTTACTAACTTGTCAGACATATTCCTACAATCGGTTCCTGCTATACTTTTGTTCTTAGAATTTTCATATGTATCTTTATTTTTAAGGAAGATACTCACTCGTTCATGCATCAACATTTATTGAGTACCTGCCATGTGCCAGGTCCTCAGAGGGGTCCAGAGACGAGTAAGACGGTACCTGGGCTTGGGTGCCTCACGGTCTAGCAAGAGAGAAAGACAAGGAAATTACAGCCAGCCCCGAGCGCGTGCTGGAATAAGGGCGTCTACGGGACACCTAGGATTTCTATTCTGTCTCACATATAATCTTCTCACTTAGAATATATAAATACACCCATATACATATTTTAGATATTATTTTAGTAACATCTCTGACATATAGTCTGTTCTCATCTGGATTATATGTAATTTTATATATTATTTTTTCTTTTAAATGTTATATTTTTAATTTTCTTCTCAAAAGATATTTTCTATCTTTCTACTGCCTCTTTGAGTTTCATCTTCTTAATGATACATTTTTTCTTTTTGAAAAGGTGCTCTTTTCTCATGATTTTAACAGAGGTGCGTTTTCAATGGAGAAAGTTAAAAAATATAGAAGAAATAAATACATAGATAAAAATTGCTCATAGTCTCAGCCACTGGAGACAGGATTTGTCCGCCTGTGGCTGTCTTCCCTCCCAGTCTCACCTCTAGGGGTAAGCAAGATTAGTCTGTTCCTATTGAGACAGTAGAGTCTTACGTGGTAGTTAATTCTAATGGGACTGGTAGGGGCACAAGTGTCTCAGAAGGCGACGCATCTACACCTCCCTGCCCAGAGGAAGGCTTCCATCCTCTCCCTCTCTGGGTCACTAGCTCCCCAACGTGGCTACTAAATCCAGGAGGCTGGGGCACGACCAGCCAACCCCGTGGCAGGGAGGGTGTCTGGAAGCCTGGGACTAGGGTCCGAGCCGATGCCCAAGGTCAGGGAGTCGGCTGGGCTCCAGATCCCAAGCCCTTGCTCACCCCGGGGTGGGGGTGGGTGGACAGGGCCAGGCCCCCTACAGCGAAGGTTCTAAATAAGGCCCTGGAATCTGCTGTGTCAAGTGACAGCTGAGAATCCCTGTGGCCCAGTGTCCTCTACCACCCGGCCCCAGAGTGACGTGGGGGGTGCCGATGGCAAACCAAGACCCCCCGCCCAACCTTCAGCCACCCTCCAGCCTCTCGGAGAAAGGAACTTCTCAGAGAAAACAAAAGTGAGTGAACTACATGACCTGTGACACCCAGCCCGGGAAATGGGAGTCCCAGCTCTCTATGGCGAGGAGGTGGCCAGTGTTTCACCGAGCTGGAGGAGAAAGGAGGACCACGAGAGGTCTGGTGCAGGAAAGGTCACACAGACCCCTCCTGATGGCTCCAGGAGGCAGGTGTCACTGCCCCCTGTGCAGCAAGGCAGAAACTGAGGCTGGGAGAGTGAGTGACTCGTCCACCGTCACACAGGGTTGAGGCGACTCTTAAGACAGACACGGTTAACCCCGTGCTGTCCTCCTTTACCCTGGGCCAGCAAAGGCCTGTTGGTGGCCTCCATCTCTGCAGGCGCTGAGCATCCTGCAGGATCAATTTCCCCAGCACCCCGCCCCCCCTCCCCCCCCCTCCTCTCTCCACCTCCTCCCTCCTCCTCCCCCTCCCTCCTCCCTCCATCACTGCGCAGGCAGGATACTCAGCTCCTCATCTTGGCTTCCCGGCAGCCCCCAGCCCTGGCCTTCACACATAAATATTTATCTAGAGAATTAATAAACACAGAGAGGAGGCCTGCAGATAAAACCAGGCTGGAGCAGAATCTTCCACCACAGGTTCTCCTGGGGGTCGCTACGTGCCCAGCCGCACAGCGCTGTGTGTGTGTATGTGTTGGAGGGGGCAGTGTTGTTGATAAAAGAGGCAGATAGTGGACTGCAGAGGTTTGACAAACAGATTCTGGAGCCGGGCTGCCTGGATCTGAATCTCAGCTTCTCAGCTGTGTGACCTCGGGCAAGTGCCTGCCCCTCTCTGTGCCGTCTCCTCCTCTGTGAAACAGTGGAGTGGTAAATAGTCCATGCGTCCTAATTAATGCAGCCTCGCTGGTACAGGAGTCAGCACAGTGCCTGGCACACAGCAAAGCTTTTAGAGTGAAAATAAATACTCGGGAAACTGAGTCAAGATTCCACGATGAAGTAACTTTATGACAAGGGAGAGGCCCCCTTCAGGAGGAGGCTCCTCAGAGGGGGTAACATCGGAACGTTCTGGAATTCTCCCCTCTCAAACCCGCTGATGACTCCTCTGCTGTCCTCAGTGGCAGCCGGAGCGGGTTTGTTGATTGTTTCCATGGCTCACAAGGCTCCACACGGTCTGGAGCCCAAAGGAACCCCTTGATTTCGCCCCATGAGCCTGCTCTGCTCGCCTCGCCCATGCGAGCTCCCTAGTCCCCGCCCCCCCTGCCCCCGCCTCCGCCCCCCCCCCCCAAACCCTGGAGCTGCTTTCCACTCCCCGGTTCTCTCACGCCCCACACCCCTATTGCACGCTGCCCTCTACCACGTGTCCTTCCTCCAGCCTCCTCGCCCACCTCCACCAGGCCGGCTGCCGGCTCTGCCGCAGGAACCCCTCCCTTGAGTCACCCTGGCCCGCAGGCAGGGGACAGACCCTCTCAAAGCAAGGCTCTGAGGATGCTGCCTCTCTGCCTCGGACTCCCCACAGCTCCCCTCCCACCCGCAAGAAAACCCCAAATCCTCGGAGCTCACGGAGCGCCAGACCACGCTGGCCTCTCCTCTCCAGCCGCCTCTCCTCCTGCCCCGCCGCTCACCCACTCTGACCACACGGGCCCCCTTGCCGCTCCGCCTCGGAGCCTGCGTCCCTGCCGTTCCCTCCCCTGAAATGCCTTTCCCGGGTGCTCCCACGGCAGGTGCTTCCCCTTCTAGGTCTCTGCCCGGCATCGCCTCCTGAGAGCCTCACCGGGTCCCCCCAGCACCCCACTCTCTCTCTCACGTGTGCACACCCTCCTCATCTTGTCACCCCTTTCCTGCCTTCGTTTTTCTTCAAAGTGCTTATTTCCACCTGAAAATATGTTATATTGTAATAACTGTATTTATAGAACGTATAAATAGTTTATAAAATTTACAACATTGTCTGTTGCTCTGAAGTGTAAGTTCTAGGAGAGCATGAATATTGCCTGAAGGAAAGATGGAAGGGGAGAGCGATGCAGGGAGGGAGGGAGGAAGGAAGGAAGGAAGGAAGGAGCCGAGGGTCAGATCTGCTGGGCGGACACAGGAGGGCGCGGGGAGGTGAACCCCAGGCGCTGGGACATTCGAGGGGACGGTGGTCTGGCTGGCTCAGAGATAGGGCACTTTGTGACGTATGAGGCGGGAGGATGACTTTTGGAAGAAAATGTGTGGAGCTTTAAATACGAGAAAAGGGAGCTGCGGCACCAAGAAGCAGAATTCAGTATTGACCCTAAATCCTCTTCCTTTTCACTGGAAGGCAGGGTAGCTTCTAGAAAAGAGAGGGAGGGTCGAGTCCTGTAGCTCGTCCTCCAGCCTCGTCTGAGCTGCTCTGCCGACCCTCCAGCCCGGCAATGGGGAGGGTGTGGACCCGGCACCGGGGCCAGGGAGGAGCTGGCAGCGTCACACCCTCTGGAATGCTGCGGCTGCGAGTAACTCGCTCCAGATTCGCGCATTCCCGTCAGAACACGAAACCAGAGGAAAAACCCGTGAGGCCCAGATTGATCAGCACAGAACTTAGCAACAGCACAACAGGCTGTGGCCAGCCGCCCTGGCCCGCTAGAGGGGCTTTCCGCCAGGCCCGGGGTTGGGGGACTGGGAGCTGGCTCCACCACCCCGACAGGCTTGCAGGGCCCAAAGGCCCCCCACCACGGGCGTCAGGGTGGAGGCACTGGGGCTCCTGCTGGAACCACGGGGCTCCCAGAGATGGTCTGAAATCCCGGTCTTCCCCACGCGCTCCCTTCTATGGGGTCTGAGAGGAGAATGCTGACGGGCGTCCCCACGCGCAGCCGTGGTTCACTCTGCTGGTTGGGCAGCCAGGAGCTGACAAGGGCATGGGGGACTTCTGAGTTTCAGAAACATCCAGATGGTCCGGCATTTCTTGGTGAGTCATGCCCTCCCGTCTTCTCCACCACATCTGGACAGCGAGGAGCTTGGCCGGCTCCTGACCCAGTTCCTCAGTCGCACTTCCCTCCTTCCAGGCCAGCTTCAGGCTCACTGGGCCAGCGTGGGTCTATCTCAAGCACATGGAAAAGTCCAGAAAATCATACTGCCGACAAGCACCCCTTTCTCCTATTCAACACCTAATGATTTGCTTTATTGGCGTCCCATCTTTCACTTTTTCTTTGAAAAAACCCACGAACTCTCAGATGTATAAGACCTGCGTGAGCACAGGCCTGGGAGGTGGCGGTGGCGGTGGTGGGATGTCCCCAGGCCTGTCCTAGAGAGAAGCAGACCAGCAGAGCTGGGGAGAGGGGTGGAGAGCACAGGCGTATCAAAGCCCGTGGCGGAGGGGGAGGGGGTGTGCCTGGCACGGGTTAGCTGCTCAGGGAGCGGGGTCCCAGCATTGCTGCAGCCTCCCCACTTGCAGCCTGTGAGGCTGGCCCAGGGGAAGATGCCCAGACCGGGGCTCAAGGTCACTGGGCCAGGAACAGGCCCAGGACGAGGAGTCTTGTTGGGAGCAGAGAGAGGACAGCCACTGATCCCCCAGTGCTGTCCCTTCCTGGGGGTGCAGAGAGGAGGGCCATCTCCAAGCTGGGTCCCTCCAGGGGGTGCTGAGTGCTAGGACCTGCTGGAGAACAGTGACGTTGCAAGTTACCCTGATTCCCTGCTGCGCCTTTTGGGGAAGTGGAGGCAGGGCACGGGCTTCTCCAGGGGTGGGGGGTCTCTGGGTTCACCCTGATGACCCCTTTCTCCCCCTCTGCAGCAGCTGCCACCTGGCCTGGTTGAACCTGCTCGTGGCCTGGCGTGGCCTGCTCGTGCAGTGGCGGGGAGTTAGGGCCGACCCTTTCAGCTGGGGGCCTGGAAGAGCCGGTGAAGGGCCAGAGCCTGGGATCGCAGCAGCCCCACATCTGCGCGCCTGACTCACGGACTCTGACATAGTGACGGTTTGTGCAGCTTGCTAAGGAGAGAGCACCCAGGCCTGTCCTCCAAGGGCCCCGTCTGAGGCCCTATCTCAGAGGTGCGGTAGTAACAGGATCCCTCTGGAGCCCCAGCCCCCAGAGGGGAGTCCCTGCCCCACCTACCAGTCTGTGGCCCGTGCACAGTTTCTCCTCCCTGAGTGTCACCGCTTCCTCGCCTGTGAGCTGGGAGGACTAAGTGACCAGTGTGGCTCGTTCCTGGCACCACATACACGGCAGCCCTCATTCTGGTAAGTGCTTGGTGCTCCTGCCACCCTCCACCCCACTGTATTGCAGCAATTCCCAAAGTGGGGTCCCCATAACCATAGCAGCGTCACCTGGGAATCTGCTAGAAACGAAAATTCCTGGGCATCAGGAACTCCAGCGTGGGGCCCAGGGGTCTGTGTTTAACAAGCCTGCTGGGGGATTCGGGTGTCCACTCATATTTGGGTACTACACTTATAGGGCATCAACCTGACCATGTCACTTTGCTGTTCTAGAACCTTCCATGTCTCCCCACGGTCTTCTGGATAAGGTCCAAGGGCTCTAACCAGCGTTGGAAGCCCTCCCCCGGTGGCCCTGACTGGTGTAGGTGCTCGGCCTGTTTTTCCAGTCAGATGACACCCTGCTGGAGGGTGTCAGTGACCGGGGTCTCTGTCCTGGGTGCTGGGGCCCCAGTGCAGGAGGCAGGAGAAAATGATGGTGTGTGATGGCTGCGTGTGTGGCTCCCAGTTGGAGTCTAGGCTCAGAGTCTGGCCTCTTCCTGTGTGAGCCAGGCAAGCTGCTTCACTGCTTGGAGCCTCAGTGTCCTCATCTGTCAAATGGGCACGATAATTAAGCGCCTGCTTAGGTCGCTGTGAGGATTAAACACCATCGCCAGGGCAACGTGCTCAGCTGGTGCCTGGCGGGTGCCTCATAGCATTGAGGGTCCACAGCCCTTGTCCAGACCCTCAGGCGGGAGCTTTCACAATTCTGAGTTTTTCAGATTCTAAAAAGGGAAATACACCATATATTACACAGCACATCCAATGAGAGGTCTTCTATTAGAAAAACATATTGATGTTTCTGTATCAAAATGTATGAATATGCAAAGTATTGCAAATGATATAGACTATTAACAAGTAGCTTCTCATCAGCTCAGGTCATGCTAAGGCTCTTGGACTTTTCCAGAAGGTGATGGGGAGCCGTCCAAGGGTTTAGAGCAGAAAAGTGACACGGTCAGGCTGATGCCCTAAAGAGCAGTGCCCAAACATGGGCGGGTGCCAGGATCACCAGAGGGCGTGGTCAACATAGACCACTGGCCACACACACGGTCACTCAGGCCTCATGGCGGCTGGTGAGGAAGGCGTGGTCACTCTCCCGTTTTACAGATCTTTCTGCAGAACACTGAGGCCCAGGAAGGTGAAATCACTGGCCCCGGTCCTTGCAGCTAAGTGGTGGGCTTGGGACTTGCCAAATGACTTTTGGGACCAAATTTATGAAAAACCTTTTGGTTTTCAGAGATTAACTGCCCTCCTGCTGGGCTCTGTGAGAGGCCTGTGACAGAGGGAAAGAACACAGGCTTCGGGATTCAAACCGGTACCAACACTTCTTGGTTGTTTCACCTCAGCCAAGCAACCTTGCCTCTCTCAGCCTCAGTTTCCCCATCTGCAAATTGGGATTAGCAGTTGTCCTTGGGCAGGGTTGAGGGAGGGCATGCTGAGATGAAGGGTGCTGGGCACCAGGGGAACCAGGAGGAGCAGCGTGGCTACCGGCTCTGCTCTCCTCTGGGGCACCGGCTGAGCCCTGGGAATTCCCCAGGCCCCGCCCCCGCCCACACCCCAGCATGCCTGGGCCTGGGCTCCAGACCAGGAGGAGCGCTTCCAGCCTGTTCTGCCCAAATAGTGCAGAGCTGGCTCTGTTGGTGGCTCTCTGTGGTGATGGCACCTGAATAGGATGGGGCGAGAAAGCTGCCTCCACACCAGGCACCCGCAGGTGCTCTGCCCGTCCCTGGGACTCTGCAGGAGACAGGCCGGCTCACCCAAGCTGGCAGGGCCACTGCCATCTGAAGGAGGCCACAGGGCAGCTGGGCCTCGGCACACGAGCCCTCCAGGGAACCCAGCAAACTGGGTGCTTACTGAGCCCAGGTCTGGGCTGCTCTTCCCATTCCAACCGTGGAAGTGGCCGCATTTCCAGTCGGGGCACTGACTGTCTCTCTCTCGAAAACTCTTCTTTCAAAGTTCAACATCTGCTGACCACCACAGCGGATTGGGGAGCTCGAAGTTTCCAAAACCAGAGGCCTGAGTTCAAACTCCAGCTCGGCGACGGCCAGCTGTGTGATCTTGGGCAGGTCCTTGGCTCTCCGTGCCTTAGTTTCCTCAGCTGTAAAGGAGCTGCCACCTCTGTCCTTCTAGGGGTCAGATGGAAACCTCGGAGACGCCCTTGGCTCAGCTTTCTCTCACCCCCACATCTGAGCTACCAGGAAGTCCAGGCGGCTCGACCTCCTGATGTTTCCAGAACCCAATCACATCTTTCTCCCACCAGCTCTACCCCGCTGCTCAGAGCCACCACGGCCTCACCTCCCTGCTTGCACCCCGGCTCCATGATGCTCCTTCTCAGCGCCCTGCAGTGCCTCCCCATCACTGACGTCACATGTGTGCCCCGCGCCTCCCCCACCCCTGCCGCCTCCCACCGCTCTCCCCTGCTTGCTCTGGCCGGCCACCCTGGGCTCCCCCTGTCCTGCACATCCTTCCCTGATGCATCGCCCTGGCTGTTCTCTCTGCCTGGAATGCTCTTCCCTAGATGCCGGCCTAGCTGGCTCTCTTGCCTTTGCTGGGTCTTTGTTTAAATGTCCTCCATCTGACTCCAGTATTTAAAGGGCGGCCTCTGTCGCCCCAGACCCCCCTGACGCCCGCTTGCCTTGTTTTCCACACGCTCTAATCGCTGTTTAACACACCCTGTATGTACTTCAGGTGGCTGTGTCCTCCCGTCACGGAGTGTGCGCTGCAGAGGGCAGGGGATTTTGTGGTTTTTTCTCTGCTGCGCCCCCATACCAGAACAGCGTGTGGTCCACAGTAAATACTTAACTAGCATTCAGGGCCCACTGCAGGTTTGTCGCGAGGGTAAATGAGTTCCTGCAGAACACTTGGCGCGCGTGGAGCTCCTGGGAGGAGCTCCGGAGTTCTGCTGCGCTCCTGGGCTTCCGGACCGCTGCTAAGCCGGGGTGTCCAGAGCCGGCCGGCTCTGCCCCTGCCGGACGACGTCCTCTTGTGCACACTCCTGAGGCTGTGAAGGGCCCGGGTGCCCTGGAAATGCTGAGCAGTGACGGGGTGGAGGAGGGGCCGCAGATGAGGCCCGAGAGGCCGGGCTGCACGTGCTGAAGCACTGGAACGCAGGGCTAGGGGTCGGGGCTTTCTCTGAGGGCATGGGGAGCCCCAGGGAGGCCTTGGTTGGGGGCGGGCAGGGGAAGAGGTTGACGACTCTGAGAACCAGGACCTGTGCCCTTCGAGGTCTTAAAGGGGAAGGTCGCTGTGGCAGCAAGGGACTGAGGACGCGCTCTTCCTAAGGGAAGGGTCTTCACTTCAGCCCCCGCCCATGGCCGGGAGAGCAAGAGGGCCCCCAGGCCCCCCACCCCGTGCCTAGCCCAGGGTTGGGGAGGAGGTGAGTTCCCGTCTCCGGCAGTTTTCCAGCAGCAGTCCTGGGTCACTAGGGAGGAGAGAGAGCGGCTGGACCGTGGGGTTCTCTGACCCGCAGGAGGGGTGCAGATGGTCTCCCAGTGATGGGCAGGAGGTGGGCTCAGTGCACTGGGGGCTTCCGGGGAGGGTCTCTTCACCCATTCCTCCAGCACGTGCTCAGCGAGCACCTCCTCGTGGCCAGGAGGGTGCCGGGCACTGGATGCACAGTGGGACAAAGATGAGCAAGGCCCTGGCCCGCCTGGGCTTGACCGTCTGGGGCAGGAGGCAGCAAGCCAACCAATGAGCCGACAGTAGTGAATTAGAGTTGTGGGCCCTGCTGCGAAGGGAGTGGGCCTTTCACGGGAGAGACTGATGCCGACTGGGGATCTGGGGAAGGCTTCTCAGCATTCTCAGCGAGGACCGCATCAAGCCAATATCTGAGGTCAGCAGGAGGTCTTCACGCAAAGAGGGAGGGGAAGAGCCTTCCAGGCAGAGGGAACAGCAGGGGCGAGGCTCAGAGGCCACTCCCCACCTAAGGCTGCCCAAGATGATGCTGGGTTTTCCAGAACTGGTCAGAACCCGCATTTGGGGAATCCACTTTTAAAAGCAAAACTATTAGAAGGGAGGCCCAATGTCATGCTTACTAGGGTCTCCTCTGCCCTTTAAAAAACAAAAGAACGTTTATCCCCCACCCCTACCGGCTAGGAGAAAAGAGTTTGGCCAAGAAAGGAAGAGAGGTGGAGTCAGCACTTCCTCCTTTGGAGGTGGGAACAAGCTCACCGAAGAACAGAGGGAAAATTAATTAATTAAAGGATTTCATGCGTTCAATATTTATTGATCCCTTACTGTGTGCCCGGCATCGTCCTAGTGCAGGGCACACAGCTCTGGACAGGACCAAGTCCCCCTTCACAAAGCTTACAGTCTAGCAAGAGAGACAGACAGTTAACAAGTCAGCAAATAAAAATATCACTTCAGGAGTAAAACGATAAGTGCTATGAAGAAAATAAGGTGAGGGTAGAATAGTTTAGGGGCAGGGTTGGTGGTCAGGTAGGGCCTCTGTGAGAGGATGATATTTGAGCTGTATAAAATGAGAGAGGAAGCCTCAGAGGATGAGAGGTATTCCACACAGAGGGAACAGCAAGTGCAAAGGCCCTGGGGCGGGGGTGGGGAGGCAGTTTAATTGGGTTGAGGAGCAGCAAGGAGGCCAGCGTGGCTGCAGTGACATGAGGGAGCAGACTGGTGGTAGGGAAGAGGGCGGGGAAGCACTGGCAGGCAGGTCAGGCAGGGCAGTCAAGTTCCTCAGGGTGTGGGTAACCCTGTGTTCAGGGCCTAGGGACTGCCACAGATGTTCCAGCAGGGCTGGGTTCAACCAACTGTCTGCTCTCAGGCACAGACCAGATGAGATAGCTGCTCTGTGCAGAGATGTGGTCCCACAGACCCCACTGTCCCTTCCTCCTACTTTTTTTCTAAGTCTCTCCTTCTAGAATGTTCCATTAGTCCAGTTTGGGGTGGCAATGGTGACTGCGGTGGGGAGGCTGCAGCTGGAGGCCTAACGTCTTCTCCTTCCGGGCACAGCTCTTCTGTTCCCAGTCAATATA